ATAGTACCCTTTGCAACAATATGGATGGAACTAGAGAACATTATGCTAAGTGAAATAAGTCAGTCAGAGAAAGACAAATACCATATGATCTCACTTATCTGTGGAATCTAAAGAATAGAATAAATGAGCAAACTAATCAGAAACAGTCTCAGAGATATAGAGAAAAAACAGGGCTGCTAAATGGGAGGGGGGCAAGGATGAGGGAGAAGGTAAAGAGATTAGAAAGCACAAATTTGTTACCACAAGATTGCCACAGAAATATGAAAGACAGTTTGGGGAATATAATCTATAATGTTGTAAAGATTTTTGTAAGGTATCCGATGGACACTTGTCTTATTAGGGTGACCACTTCATGAACGGTGCAGATGCCTGCCCACTGCAATGTACACCTGAAGCTAAAGCTGAATAATAATGAATGTGAACTATAATTTTATATAGATAGATATAGATAGATATGGATAGATATGGATAGATATAGATAGATAGATGATAGATAGATAGATAGATAGATAGATAGATAGATGACAGATTGATGGATATATTCACAGGATGTGGAGTACAGCATAGGGGATAGAGTCAATGAAACTGTAACAACTATATATGATGTAGGAGGGGTATAGATTGGGGGAGAGGTGTTATCACTTTGTGAGGGGTGTAAATGTCTAACTATTACATTGTTTTGTTGTACACCTGAAACTAATTTTTTAAAACAGTAAAAAAAAAAAAAAAGGATAATAGACATGTTATTCTTGTAGGGTAAAACATGTTTAGCATACAAGTTAAGAAAAGAACAATATTCCTGACATTAAAGTATAGGTTAACAAAAATTGTTTTAATTATTCAAATTGTTTAAATTATTCAAAAAAGGGTTTTCTGGGCCAGCCGAGTGGCGCGATGGTTAAGAGCTCGCTTGGGATGCCAGAGGGCCCCGGTTCGGATCCCGCGTGTGAGGGCCAGTGACACTGCCCTCCACAGCTGGGGTGCTGAACAACAGCTCAACCTGG